AGTAATTTCTTTCTTAAAATAAGTGCATTTTTCTTGTATTAAGGTGGTAAGTGAGACACTTTGCCAATAGAACAAGACAAGAAGAAAAAACAATTACTTTGTCTTATTTCAAGTGCATATTATCTAAGTATCTTATTTTAATACCAAAACTACTCATCCTATTGGCAAATAATCGTATTTACCTGCTCAAATTGAGGGGAAATACACTTAATTTAAGAAATGTTTACTTATTTCTAGATAATTTTTGCAGTGTACACTGCAAAAAATGGAAATCTAAGTAAGTAATTTTTTCTTAAAGTGCATTCTTTCTCTAATTGAGGTGGAAAGTGAGAGACTTTGCCAATGGAACAAGACAATTTACATGAATTGCATTGTCTTATTTTAGGTTCATATTATCTAATTATCTTATTTTAAGAGTAAGGATACTAATTTAATTGGCAGATCATCGTATTTACCTACTCAAAGTAAATTTAAGAAATGTTTTCCTTATTTCTAGATGTTTTTTGCAGTGTAGATACTCACTGGTCTTGCCGGTGTCGGTCAGGCTGGGCCCGTCCCCCTCAGCGTACACGGGAACCACGGTGACGGTGTAATCGGTGTCTGGCAGCAGTTTCTGCAGGACGGTGGAGGTGGTGCTCTCAGAAACTTGTTCCTGGGGAAGACAGAGGAGGTGGAAACGGGAAAAAGACGCTGAGAAATGAACCGACCTTTAAGTGCAAGTTGAAACAAGTTGGATTTCATCAAATTTAGGTGAATAATTTTATATAAAAAGTGAAACAAAGCATTTCAGACGTTACAGATTCGTATTTTTCTTTAACTTAGAGAACGAATAGGATCTTTTAAAAGGCCAGAGTGGAGTTTCCTGCAGCACAAGCTGATAAACCACTTTAGACGCTCCTCTCTGCTTTTGATGCCAGCGATCTGATCTGATTTAAACACCGTAAATCCAAAAACTTAGTCCCTGGAAAATTCTTCTTAACAATTAGAGAGTGTGTTTCCAGGAAGGTGTCAGTGCAGCAGCCTGGCAGCGATGGGGAGGATTATCCCGTCACAAATAAATCCCTGCAAAGGACTTTGATCGCCTCTCCTGAGGAGGGAGACACACACACACTCACAGTCGGAGCCTTTGTAGCCCCTGTAGGAGACACTTTGACATGTCTGAAAAATGATAAAACAGGATTGTTTCTCATCTGCACCAGAACTCTCTGAGCTTTCTGAGTGGGAGTCAAACATGCAAGCGAAAACACATTACCATCTACAGCTGCTCATTCCTCATGATTTCTATTTCTGCAAAGAGCAAAGGAAACAAGATCTGAAGAGCTGTTAATGTATGTGTGTGTGTGGAATCTTATATTCTTATATTCAGGCTTTCACTGCAAAAACCATCTAGAAATAAGCAAAAAAATTCTTAAATCAAGGGTATTTACCCTTGATTTAAGCAGATAAATAAGATGATTTGCCAATGGAATGAGTATTTTTACGCCTAAAATGAGATCTTTAGTTATTATGCACTTTAAATAAGACAAAGCATTTTGTTTTCTTATTTTAATTGTAAATTGTCTAGTTCCATTGGCAAAGTTTTCCACTTACCTCCTCATTTTAAGAAAAAATGCACTTAATTCAAGCAAAAATTACTCATTTAGATTTCCATTTTTTGCAGTGTTGGACGATCCAGCCTCAGAATTGCATTCAGAGCTGCACTACAAAAAAATGAAATCTAAATAAGTAATTTCTTCTTAAAATAAGTGCATTTTTCTTGAATTAAGGATTTTTTGTGAGACACTTTGCCAATAGAACAAGACAATTTACACTTAAAAAAAGAAAAAAAAACAATTGCTTTGTCTTATTTCAAGTGCATTATATCGAAAAATCTTATTTTGAGAGTAAAAATACTAATTCCATTGACAAATCATCTTATTTACCTGCTCAAATTAAGGGTACACTG